ATTAAAATGCTTCCTGAGCGTTGGGCACAAGTAGTAGAAAACAACGGCAACTATATTGTTGATTAAATTTTGTTGTATTGTTTAAATAAATTCGATTAAAAAAAAAGTATTAGAAAACGACATTAATTATTACTAGACCCAATAGTTTAGAGAGAGGAATAGAGTTCGAAAAGTCGATGAGAGAGAATCATTGATCACCTGCCTCTTGCACACCCCCTACTGGGGATGTGCCCACAACCAAGGTACATGCCCTTGACCAGAATCGAACCTGGGACCTTTCAGTCCGCAGGCTGATGCTCTATCCACTGAGCCAAACCGGTTTTGGCTGATATATGTTGAATCTCAAAAGCATTCTGCTGAGTGAACTAAATCAGTTATTAAAAAGCATATATTGCAGGACTCTGTTGATGTGAAGCTCAAGAAGAGATGCAGTAATCTTTGGGGACAGGAAGGAGAAGAGTGGCTGCCTCAGACAGGGGAGGTCACCGACTGGGAAGGGACACAGGGAACTTTCTAGAGTGGCGAAGACCCAGATCTTGATTAGGGCGTTGGTTACATGACACAGACATTTGTTAAAACTCACAAACAGTATCCTACAAATTATGTACTTCATGTAATTATAAACTCAATGGAAAATACTATATATATATGGTGATAGACGATAGGCATCAAAAAGTGATTGTCTGGAAGGAGTTGCTGACTGGAAGGGGGCACAAGGGAACTCTCTGGGGTTGTAGAAATGTTTATGTCTTGTTTGAAGTAGTCGAAACTCATTGGCCTGAACATGTAAGAATGATGTATTTTATTGTATGTAAACTATACCCCAATACAAAAGAATGTAAAAATATAAAATAAATAAACAATGCTCAAAAAAAAAGAGAGAATAGTTAGACCGATAGGCATGTGTTTAAAAATAATTTTTAAAATATTTTAATTGTGGTAAAAAAATACACATAACATAAAACTTACCATCTTAACACTTTTATTTTTTTAAATATATTTTATTGATTTTTTTACAGAGAGGAAAGAGAGGAAGGAGAAACGTCGATGAGAGAGAAACATCGACCAGCTGCCTCTTGCACAACCCCTACTGGGGATGTGCCCACAACCAATGTACATGCCCTTGACCGGAATCGAACCTGGGACCTTTCAGTCCGCAGACCGACGCTCTACCACTGAGCCAAACCGGTTTCGGCTATCTTAACACTTTTAAGTGTACAGTTCAGTAATGTTGATATATTCACACTATTGTGCAATGGATATCCAGAACTTTTTCATCTTGCAACCTGAATCTTGATACCCTTTAAACAATTATTTCTTATTCCCCTTCCTCCCCCCACTTGCCCTAGGCCTTGAAAACCACCATTCTACTTTCTGTCTTTGTGAATTTGACTCCCCTACCTATCCCATATACATAGAAGCATGCAGCATTGGTGTTTTTGTGACTGGCTTCTTTTACTTAGCGTGATGTTCTCAAGGTCTATCCATCCATGTAGCAGATTGAGGAATTTCCTTCCTTTTCATGGCTGATTAATATTTCATTGTATGGATTTACCGTGCAATTTTTTATCCATCCATTCATCCATCAATGGACATTTGGGTTGCTTCCACTTCTTTTTTATTGTGAATAAATGCTGCTATGAACATGGATATATACATATGGCATCGGGCTTTTTAAAAATAAAAAAGCAGGGTCACCTACTGTTTTAATGTCCCCTTTTCGATGCTGTGTTGACATTGCGGATGACTAGAAGTTTTTCAGAGACAGGTGCAGCAACAGGGTATGTATGACACCCATGCCAAGCACTGAAAATGACAGTGACCCAGGGTGAGCAAATGTTCGTGTTTTTCTCAAAGGCTCCAGTGTGTCTTTGAAGGCAGTGTAGAAATACACTTGGAGGGAATTCCAAGCCAAAAGACAGCAAAGGTCATCGTGTGCCCCGCTGGACTGTCAGGAGTAGTAGCTCTAATTTTCTTACACAACATTGACTCCTGGCCCCACTTGGCTCCTCACAGGGCCCTCCACCCCCATCAGGAAGGGCCGCAGGAAACCTGCAGGGAGATCACCAGCCACCAGGTGGCAGTCAGTAGGACACTCTCTCGGCCACACTGACAGGCTTAGGTGTCCAGCTGAGAGGTGAGACGCTAGGTGACTGGCCCGAGTTTCTCTGGCCTGCTGTCCTCTCTTCCTTGAATAGGCCAGTCCTTCCACACTCTATGGTTTGCACGAAGATTCTTTAGCCCTAGCTGTCAATAGGTGAATTGGTGACATGACTGGGGAGCACTGGCTTATGTCCTATGTCTGTTGCTTTGAATGAGCCCTTGGTATATCCAGGAACGGAGCTAAGAGCTTTGCACACGTGCGCACACGCATACACACACACACACACACACACACACACACACACACACGGTTTACTCCTTACCCTAGGAGTAGGTATTATTGTTCCTTATTTTAAGGATGATGAAACTGTTTTGGGGTGTATTAAATAAAAGATTGTTAGCATGTTGACTTGAGTTGAATTGAGATTTTTCCTAGTATTCTGGGAAGATGGAAAGATAAAAGCCATGGTCCCTGTCCTTGAACTATTTCACTGACAATACTCTTTACCATCACAAAATTGTGCATGTTAGTTTCTAGAAGTATAACTCCAATTTATAATAACATGACCCAAATTATGAAAAGTATTGGTAGAGTGACAGTTCTAAGGCTGCAAAATTGGTTTATGACCAACATCTGACTTGTTAAACTCAGTGGAAAGACTATGAGTCTTTATATATTAATGTGTTAGACAGAGCATTCCCACCGCCTACAAGGCTATTTGAACACTTAAAAATGGGTTTCATTTAATTGCCTCTGCAATGGGTTATCAATGTTCTCAGGATGGACTGAAGCCATCCCATGCAGAAAGGCTGATGCCACAACCATGGTTGAGAAACTTTTAGAAAGTATTTCCTTTATGGGATATCCCCAGAGAAATCTCCAGTGACAGGGGAACTCATTTCACCAGATAAACAATTAAACAATTAAATAAGGTGCTGCTGACACAATGGCATTATCATTATCCTTACAGTCCGTCCTCAGTCATCTGGTGATGTTGAACAGACAAATGGTAACGTAAAACTAAAGCTAGCTAGATTAACAGAATCAACTGGACTGCCCTGGCCAAAATTCCTACCACTAGTTTTTGATGGCAATGAGATCAATACCTATGGAAAAGTGTAAATTAACACCTTATGAAATAGCAGCAGGAAGACGATACCTTTGATAGAACCGTATGTGCCTACTGTACTCATGAATTGATATGACTTGATATTTAAAGCTTTAATGCATTATGCCGAAGTGTCTTTCCACCAGGTAAAGGAAGCTTTCCAGGACCCGCCTACAGAAGGTTGAACCTTCTACATCTTAGAATCAGGACAGTGGGTCTTCTGGAAACAGCACCTTGCTCGTCGGCATGGCTCAGTGGTTGAGTGTCGACCTATGAACCAGGAGGTCACAGGTCCGATTCCAGTCAGGGCACATGTGGGCTCGAACCTTAGTGCAGGGCATGCAGGAGGCAGCTGATCCATGGTTCTCTCTCATCATGGATGTTTCTCTCTCCCTTCCTCTCTGAATCAATAAAAATATATTTAAAAAAAGAAAAAAGATTGCCCTTGAATCTCGTTGGAAGGAACAAAGACCAGGTACTCCTCACTACCCAGACAGCAGCCAAACTTCAGGGATTGTTTACCTTGAGTCCACAGGTTACTAGTTGAAAAAGGCTCCTCCAGACTCTTGAACTGCACACCAGCCCGAGATCTAAAGTTAAAATTGACCAGTGGGGTTCCTCCCTGAAGCAGATTGCTTTTCCAACATCTTCTCCAATATGAACCCTTTATCCCTCCTGTCTATTCGCTATCTGCTTTTTCTTTCCATTAATACATGGGAAGATGACATTATAATTAAGACCTCACAAATAACAGCTATTGCAGGAAACTTATCTAGTTAACTTCAGGGTTTGTCATGTTAAGCCAAAAAGTACACGAAGGAAGAGACCTCTCACTCATCCTAAAAGTAATTTCATTGGAATCCTAAATGCCGCTGTATGCCTAAATTGTTCATGAGCCCCTTTTGTAAAAACACTAAAACCACATACCCCCCTTCCTTGCCTTAATTTAACCCAACCCTGGGTGGGGAAACAAGATCCATATATATATCCAGAGGAGCCATGTGACACTACAGAGCATGTATAGGCTTGGTGTCAGCCCCACATATTTAGGTGGTCTCTCAATATGTAATAATACAGTATTTGGGTGTTAGTTGAACGATGCTAACACCTCTGCACCAACCAACGGGTCCATGAATGGTAATGTTCATGAGGGAGCCTTATGAGCTACTCCTTCACATGTAAAGTTTTGTTAATGGCCTCTAGGCTTGGGCAACTCATTGTCTTGACCACGGAGGATGACAGAACAATGTGCTTCCGCTGTATTTACTATTCCGCTGCCCCTTCACAATCCCTCAGGCTCCACAGCGGTCCACTCCCTGAATGTACACGACCAGCAGACGTAAAAGTTTACCAGCAGATGGGTGACATTTGGACGGTCCCTTCTTCCTTGGCTTGGAGTTAGTCCAAACGCGTATGTGATCAGAAATGATCAACTCTGGCAACCACTTCTGAGTTCACTGCCAAAGCCACAGCTGCAGGACAGAAGCCCCCAGGCTCTCTCCTGTGACATGGCTTTCAGGAATAGAACGGCACTAGATTACTTGTTGGCTGAACAAGGAGTCAACCTGGATCAACATCCCTGGTGCTGCAGAAACTCAGTAAGATATTAACAAGCAAGCTACTTGGTTAAAACAGGTTCATTCATGGGGACTCTGGCTAAGGAGAATACTTCCGACTCATGGGATTTTTCTCCTAATAGTCATCAGGAGTAGATTCTTAAATGCATCTGCAGCTGTGGATTTTGTGTGTTGATTGGGGAATAGGTGACACTGATGGAGGGAAGCAGAGTAGAGTGCCATTATTTTGATTTATTGCATTCTGAAGTACCATTGGGTGGGGGGCCTGAGAACAAGTCCGCTTTATCAGCAGTTCTAAAGCCATATTACCTGAGATTTGCATTCTGGGAGTGGGGGGAGGGAGAGGAGGGGGTTAAGAAATCAAGACTGAATTATCAATATGTACGTCATGAGATTTGGGTTTTGGCCCTGACAGAAGAACCTGAACTAACCTGAAAAAGGCTGCATGAGATTAAAGAAAGAAACCAGCTAAACACGAAGTCCCAGTGGAAGACGCGGATTTAGCCAGAGAGCCACCCACGTTAGCAGAACCCCGCTCTTTGGGCGGTTAGGAACGCAGGAACTGGATGGAGTGCGGGCTGCTCAAGGCAGGGCCCCCCGGGGATTGGCTGCCGGTGGCAGCATCCCAGGAAGAGCCAGTCCGGGGGTCACGTTTCCCGTCTCTGCTCCCTGTCACTTCTCATCGTCCCGTCCATAGTTAATGGTCTGTAAGGCCTGAGCGATGAGCGTAGCCATTTCTCGGGTGCCCGCAGCAACCACTCTGCAGGACATGAGGTCGAGAGGTCCACCTGAGGACAGAGAGAGACCACGTGGGTTACGGAGAGGGCAGAACAGTCCTGGATAACAACATCACACTCTGAGAAAAACATCTCCCAGGCGGGGCTCGAGGCTGGACCCAACAGCTGATCCGGTCAGAGAGAGGGGTTCGCCTCTCAGCATCAGCACCACCCCAGTGAGTGCGGTGGAGGGGCCACAGGCCAATGCCAGTCTGGAGGCTGTGCTGGGAGAATGCAGTCGGAGGCCCAACGTGGAGGACCAGGAGTCCAATGATTGGTGAAACCAGGACAGGAGAGAGCAGTCCTCCGTCTCCATGCTGCAGGGAGGCACTCGGGGCCCAGAGTTGGTCTTTCTGACTGGCAACCTGAAGTGGCTGCTGTGGGGACCAGGCAGCTGGGGGAGGAGGGGGAAGCCCTGTGTCCTTCTGGGGGCATGAACAGGACTCGTGGCCTTGCTGGAGCCCTCTGTGCACACACGTGTGCTCACGTGGTTAAATCCAGTGTCGGACTCCTATTTAATCTGAAACTGGTCTGCCTGGCCTTGCCATCTAAGCCTGATATCTCTTCACTTTTATACTTTGCTGGTAGCTCAATTAAAGCCTTTAAGGGGGAAAGAAGAAGTAGAAATCAAGTGACAAAAGACCCCTGTCCATACCCACTTGTTAAAAGGGAGCCCCAGTGTTTGTGCCAACAAGCTCGGGACTAAAAAGCTGGGAGAGAATGGGATCCAGTAGGACTCACCCAGCCCTTGACTGGTTACCCCTAAATGTCAGGCGAGGGGCAGGGAGGCTAAGTGGAGTCAGATGTGCCCGGGGTGTGTGTGTGTGTGTGTGAGTCCTGGGATGTGATTGCCTTGAAGCAGGAGGAACAGGCACCTTTGGGATCCATTCTAAAACCTCACAGGCACCCGCGCAGTACGCTGCTGAGCCAGGCAGGGGACCAGCCTCCTCGTGGCCAGCTGGGGTGCGGGATGCCTGCTCTGCCAGTCTCAGCAGATTGTGTGCTTAGGAGACTGTCAAATGGTGTGCTGCTCCTACGGGCCATAGTCTGAGCCTCGGCTCTGCCAATTTTCACGCCTCATGGCACAGAGTGGGAAGCGGGAAGGGCGGGAAGGGCGGGACCGGCTTTCCCAATGCCCGCTCATCAGCATAGACTCCGAGGAAGCGAGGGACCCTCGGTCTGGTCTCCGCGGTCACGCCCCTGGGGACTGAGGCCAGCCCAGGGTCGAGGGGCCCACCTGACGTGTCCATCACGATGCCTCCTGCTTCTCTGATGATGACGGTGGCGGCGGCCAGGTCCCAGCAGTGCAGGCCAAACTGGTAATAGGCGTCCGCAGCCCCCGAGGCCAGGAGGCAGAGCGCCAGGGTGGAGCTCCCGATCACTCGGACCCTGGGGGGGCGGGAGGGGGGAGAGAGCAGTCATTCACGTGTGAGGGCACCGGCTACAGATCAGACTGCTCTTAACGGTGTTCATGCCCAATTCATCCAGTCACTCCTGCTGTGAGCATTCCCAGGCATTAAGAAGGAGCCACAGCCGAAACCGGTTTGGCTCAGTAGATAGAGCGTCGGTCTGCGGACTGAAAGGTCCTGGGTTCGATTCCAGTCAAGAGCATGTACCTTGGTTGTGGGCACATCCCCAGTAGGGGGTGTGCAAGAGGCAGCTGATCAATGTTTCTCTATCATCGATGTTTCTAACTCTCTATCCCTCTATCTTCCTCTCTGCAAAAAAATCAATAAAATATATATATTTTAAAAGACATTAAAAAAAGAAGAAGAAGAAGAAGCAGCAGCAGCAGCCACAGGGCTTCTCCCAGAAGCTCTAGGTTCAAAGTCTAGAGTGCAGTGCAGGGCTGTCCAGCAGAGCTTTCTGCGGCGACCGGAACCTTCTGCATCTGGTAGCTTGAGCCGCCTGTGGCTGTCGCGCACTGGAAATGCGGCCGGGACAACCAAACAGCTCAACTGTTAACCATGTACACGTTTAAAGCACCTCATGTGGCCACAGCTACCGCCTAGACCCAGATGGAGGATGGAGGACTTGGATTTGTTTTCCCAAGTGTTTGCTGGAGGAACATCAATTAGGCAGGGGTCTGAGCACACACAGGACTGGCGGGCTGGGTGGCTGTGGCTGAGATCAGTTCCTGGGCTTCTCCAAGTTTCTCAGAAGGGAACGAACGTTCCCTGACAGCTGCTGCGGGAGCCCCCACACCGGACGGGGCAGCACCAGCCGCTGCCCGGGGCCTCGGCACCGCCATCCGTGTGTGTTCCCATCACAGGATCGTTTTTCCTCTCAGTCCCCGGGGAGTCTGCAGCAAGACTATGTGCTTGGCACCGTCCACTTGGCCCCAGGTGCTGCGGGATCTGAGGTCATACCCATGAGCCTTGGCGTGGAGTAACCGCTCCATGTTGCTCAGGAACAGTTTCAGAGTAGCAGGGTCACGCTTGGGACCGATTTCGGTTAGCACCAAGGCCCTGGAGAGATCTGCAATAGAAACAATGTCCCGTCATCAGAAAAACCAAGCCGTAGTCCTAACTGAATAGTTGGGGTTTTTCCTGAAGTGAAATTCAAATATCAGACTCCTATTCCTTCTAGAATAAGTCTCTTTTGATTGTTTTATGCTATAAAATTTTTCTAATAGCTATGTTGAAAAGTAAGGACATAGTAAAGAGATAAAATTCACACCCTATTTCATCATCATTCCTTTAAAGTTGCTTTCTGAATCAGATTTCTGAAGGAGATTTTTTAGTTCTCTCTTTTCAAAAATGGTTAGTGTGAAAACTTGAAGAGTTTGGTGTCTTAGGAGAATCATCATCATTCAATCATAAATAAAACAAAATGACTCCAAACTGGGACCACCCAATGTTTGAAGGGGGGAAAAAAAAAGCTTCATCAATTAAATATCTTTAAACCTTTTAAAAAAATATTGATTTCAGAGGAGAAAGGGAGAGGGAGATAGAGACAGATACATCAATGATGCGAGTGTCATCAATTGGCTTCCTCCTACACGTCCCCCACTGGGGATGGACCTACAATCTGGGCATGTGTCCTGACCAGAAATTGAACCATCACCTCCTGGTTCATAGGTTGACTCTCAACCACTGAGCCACACCAATGGGGCTTTTTAAAAAGATAGATTAAAAGAAGTGGAATTTCTGAAAAAATAACCAGTATTTCTGAGTGAAAGAGTGTGCATGTTTTAGATTTTGATAATTAAGAAAAACCATGAAGATTTCCCCCCAGGAACTAGAAAGCCAGGTAATCAACTTCCATAGGGAGGTACCGTATTTTTCGAACCATAAGACGCACCTTTTCCCCCCCAGAAGTGGGGGGGAAAAGTCCCTGCGTCTTATGGTCCAAATATAGCCTACACATATACTTTAAAAAAAAAGTTTTTTTACTTGCCCGGCTCTGTGTGGTCTCTGTGTGCTTGCCCGGCTCTAAAATGGTTCTAAATGCTGCTGTTTACTTTACAGGGTTGATTACATGTGTTTATGACTGTGATGTTGGGTTTTAATGCACATAAAATATTTTAGGACACTATTTGTTTCAGAATCTTTTTTTCTTCATTTCCCTTCTCTAAAAACTGGTGCGTCTTATGGTCCGGTGCGTCTTATGGTCCGAAAAATATGGTAAGTATCCGCTTTTACTCAGGTTCCTAAGATGTGACTACTCCTGCAGGCCACCGCCTCGCCCAATATGTCTTATCAGAAGGAGGGCCTGGCTGCAGGGTGAATGGAGAGGAGGGTCCTCGAGTGTCAGCCTAGACATGCAGGGCTGCCGAGGAAGAGCAGGGATTTTCAAACTAAGTGCCATTGGGCTATTTCACAAGGGAAATCACACACAGTGTGGAAACAGCAATCACTCACATCTTACTCTCTACCAGACACGTCCATGTATGTGCTCAGTCCTCCATTGCATTCGCTATCTCACTGTTCTTGTTTCAAGGCTGGGAGGCCAAGCTTAGGGAGGGGACCTGCATGAAGTCAGGTAGCCCTTCAGTGGTAAGGCCCAGACTTAAACTTAAACTGCCTGGTGATATATAAAAGAAGAGGTTTCTTTCCATAGTTTTAAATTTATAAAAATATATTTCTGTATCCTCTTCCAGCTGCAATGTATCTATTCTTTCTCACTCGTGCTAATATATTTTTTCCCAAATGAAATCACGAAGAGTAAAAAGGAAGTCTGAGTGCTGCCACCTACAGGCAAAATGCTCTCTACTGTTTTATTTGGACTTAGGTAAGGAAAATGAAAAGAAATCTAAGAAGAAGGCCAATTTTTTTTTTTTTTTAAACAGGTCACAAAAACAGAAGAGGGAGCTCTAGAGCTGTGAAAATACAAAACTATCTTGACACCCTCCTCTCCCCGAGTTCGGGAATACAGATTTCCAGTAGCACAAAGTAAAAGTAAACAAATCATGGTTGAATATCACACACAACTGTCATTTTCATAAGGAAAAAGAATGAGGGCAGAAAGATGTCTCTCCAGTCAATCAAAGGATGCCAGCAAGATTTGCCCACACACAGAAATAGCTTTATGTAAAAAAATAAAATAAAAATAATAATAATTTAATATTATCACTGTAATTGAAAAATAAAAAAAAATTTTAATATATTTTTTATTGAGTTTTTACAGAGAGGAAGGGAGAGAGATAGAGAGTTAGAAACATCGATGAGAGAGAGCCATCGATCAGCTGCCTCCTGCACATCCCCTACTGGGGATATGCCCGCAACCAAGGTACATGCCCCTGACCGGAATCGAACCCGGGACCCTTCAGTCCCCAAGCCGACGCTCTATCCATTGAGCCAAACTGGTCCCAGCGAAAAATAAAATTTTTAAAAAGAAATAAAGAATATATGAAAGAACAGCATAACTCAAAAGTAGAGGGGGATATAACTTAGGAAAGAAACAGAAAACATTTCAAATGAGAAGATAAATCATTTAATAATAGAAGAACTAGTATTATTTTTCTGAAACTGTCATGTGTGTGTTGTGGGATAAAATAAGCAGGGATTGCATGGTATTATTAAATCCTTGGTATCACTGTGCACTAGGGTTTTTAGCATGGGGCTGAGTAGACATACATGGAAGAATTAAGTAGAGAACCCTGTAATCATGAATTTGAATGGGGCCCATCAGTATGGACTCATGATGAATTTCATGTTACAAAACAACTCATTCCCTAGCTCTGTCCACTGAAAAGACAGATCCAGGATCTACAATGACCTCTAGACTCGAGATTGTGGCTCCGAAAGGTCCTTTCCATGGATGAAAAAAAGTGGAAATTTGAACCCTGACTGTGTTCATGCCTACTAATGATTTTAGGAGGGGGTGAGATTGGTATTGTGATTATGTTTTTCAAAGAACTGTCTTATGTTTTAGAGAGCCATACTGAAATACTGGCTAGAAAATGCTGTCATGTCTGGGATTTGAATCAGGGAGTTGTTGGGGTGCTGGGAGTTGGGTGGAAGTGTGGATCAAGCAGAATTGGCCATGAGTTGGCAATACTGGAGTTGTGTGGTGGGTCATGTGGGGTTCATTGCACTTTTTCTGTCTGCTTTGCACATGTTTGAAATTTGGCCTGGTACAATTTGAAGAAAAAACGCTACTGATAAAATCCTGGCCTCTAATCCTTTACCCCTAACCAGTGTAGCTTTTTTGTTTTTGTGAACTGAAGACATTCCAGAAAGGTTAAATGGGAATTGAAAAAGAGAAGGCAAAGAAAGCACAGGGGGAAAGTTAAGCGGTGGTTATTTTAATGGCTTTTTCTTTCAGAAACTCATCTTGATTTCAGCAATGGGCTGTAATGGATCGCGTGTGAAGACTCAAGTTTCTCCTTTGATAATGACTCTCATTTTTGGGTGCTATGTGCCAGGGGCTTTGCTGAGTGCTTTCTATATATAATTTTATTTAACCTTCCAAGTTTCATCTACATCACCCCGCTTTACACATGAAGACAAGGTTTCAGGTCACAGTATTAGAAGGCGGCAGATTCAGGATTTGAAACCAGGCCTGCATATCACCTAAAGGCAGTGCTGCTAAAGCATACACCCATCCCTTCCCATAGGAACCTCGTCGTCCATCAAACAGGAAACGACCAAGTTGAAACACACACACTAGACTTTATAAATTGGATTTTTTTTGGGGGGGGAAAAAAATCACAAAAGAGCTTTGGAACATGTGTACAGCCAAGGAGGGCTAATGACAGCGAGCGATGGGCAGCCTGGGACAGAAGCGCCTGTGATGGGCCAAGGACAGTGGTGACCCTAAGGCCCCGCCCATGGGGGGCTGAGCAGTGCTGGGCCGTGTCTGAGAGCCCCGCTGAGGACGCTGCACTCCTGAGTGAGGCAGGCAGCCGACCAGGAGGCCGAGGGCGTGTGAATGGAGCTGAGTGTTAGGTGATCAAATAAAATGTAGAGCAAAGGTCACAGAAGCGTGTTTAATAACATGCTTTCTCACTACCGAGTTACACAATTCAGCCTGAGTGGTTGCCTCTTGGCATGTGTGGCTGTAATTAACGCCACTTTTTACTCAGCCAAGCCAAACATTCTGGGAGAGGGAGACAGGGGCGGGGCTGGCGCGCTGCGGTAACTGGTTAGCGTGTCCTGCTGCTCCCGCCTCTGTCTGCGCCTCTGGTGACCGGCTCCCTGCCCCTCACCCCCCCAGGAGCCTCCTCAGACTCCCCGAGGCAGTCCTGCCCCAGCCTGTCCTTCACACAATGACAGGTCACCTCCCTAACAGACCAGCTGCTCATGGGGCCACAGCACCGGCAAAGCAAACACCTCCTGGCACCTGGGTCAACACCTTTGGCTGTAGAAACCCAAATGCAAGAGATTAACAAGGCAGGGCGCTGCTCTCACCCACCACATGGCTGTGCCTCCCGTCCTGACTGGAGGAGGCAGGGCCCCTCTGGGTCCTCTCAGCGCCTCAGGCCCTCGAGGCACACAGGTGGCGTCCAAGGAGGAAGAAAAGGCAGAAATAGGGACAGTGGAGAAAGGGCACAGGAAAGACATTTTTAAGAGAAGCTGGAAAAGGGTGGAGAAGGGAGGCAGAAAGGAAGCAGAGGGAGCTCAGAGGGAGCCACACACTGAAGCCGTGACGGGCAAGTGGAATAACAGAGAGGGGAGTGGGACACATGAGTGAGAAGTCAGCAGGGACGGTGCTCTCTACATCATGGACCCTTTGGAGTCTGGTCCTAATCCACCTGCTCCTAGCCTCGGGCTCAGCTCTTTCCTTGTCTTGCAATTTTCTCCCCGAAAGTATCCGTTCTACAAAACTGCTGAAGTATCGCCAGTTTAATCAGAGAGAAAGGCCAAAAAGAGTCAGCAAAGCCTCTAAAGCAGCATATGGTGCCCTAACTGGTTTGGCTCGATGGACAAGAGCGTCGGCCTGTGGACTGAAGGGTCCCAGGTTCGGTTCCGGCCAAGGGCACATGCTCGGGTTGTGGGCTCGATCCCCAGTAGGGGGCGTGCGGGAGGCAGCCAATCAATGATTCTCTCTCATCACTGATGTTTTTATCTCTCTATCCCTCTCCCTTCCACTCTGAAATGTTAAAAAATAAACAAATAAAGCAGCATATTATGCCCGATCCGTGGCAACGTGCGGATTAAGTATAACGCAGTCCCCGTATGGGAGCTACTGGGTGCCCTTGAGGTCCTGCTTGAGGAGGAACAACGACAGTGGGACATCTGTGGTGAGTGAAACGTCACTGATGGACACGCCTTCCCTCGGAAACTGGAGCCGGCTCCGCTCAGCCACCGCAGGGCCATCCTGACGGCTGACATGCACCTGAGCGTGCTTCCGGCTCTGCCCCTGGCATTGGGCTGCGGGAGACCCACTCGTAACTCATGACGGTGTCTCTAAGCATTCAAGAGGAAAGATGCGAGGACAAAATAGAAGGAGACTATTTAAAGCTCCTGGCCACATTTACAAAAACATTATGATCGAGAACTGGCTCAGCTTCCAGCTCATCAGGGACACGGTGTCCCGAAGAAGAAAGAGCTGGAACTCTCGGCAGGAGGCGTCCGCCACCGTCCCGGGCATTGTCCAGGGACGTCTCAGCCCGAGGTGGCCCGAGGCCCGCCGCGCGCGCGAGGCCCACCTGTCTCCGCGGAGACCCGCAGCCGCTGGCCGTTGCAGAAGGCGCCTCGGCCCCGCCGGCCGGTGTACAGCCGCTCCTCGGTGCAGTGGTAGATCACGCCGAACTCCAGCTGCGGGCGGGGCGGGACAGAGAACAAGTTCACTCGGCCTGCTCCGTGTTCTGACGAAAGCCAGACCATGTGCTAGACACTCCTTCCCAAAGGGGAACTGAAACGCAGCACCTAGATGCAAACTAGACCTGCACGGAAGCGAGCTTTTTTTAAAAAAAATCACCACATTTAAAAATGTACCGCCCTAGCCGGTTTGGCTCAGGGGATAAAGTGTTTGCCTGCGGACTGAAGGGGCCCAGGCTCAATTCTTCTGGTCAAGGGCACATGCCCAGGTTGTGGGCTTGATCCCCAGTAAGGGACATGCAGGAGGCAGCCAATCAATGATTCTCTCTCCTCATTGGTATCTCTATCTCTTTCTTCCCCCTTTCTTCCTCTCTAAGATAAATAAATAAACAAACTGAAATTTAAAAAACTATATTAAACCTTAACACCGTAGTGAAGCATTAGTACAGGAAAGTTACTGAAAAAGCTGAATTCTTTAGAAAGGCTTTTTCCTCCCCCGGGGATGGTGGGAAGTTACTTGTGACTCTAATCAAACCACAAGTAACCCTCAAAACTGCTGATGTGTGAAGAATGAAGACTGAAGAATGCATCACAGAACCCACAGCGGTCCCAGGAAGACAGGCGGGCCTCACCGGGGGCTCGTCCCTGAGCGGCGAGCGCCAGCCAGCGGCCGCACTGCCGCATCCACTCGGCTCGGCCTCCCAATCGGGGGTGGGAAAAGGAAGAGGCAGGAGCAGATGCTTCCTGACACTGGCGCTCCGTGCCTGTCCTCTCCCGACTCCTCACCAGGCAGGGTTAACATCGCAAGTGAAGAGAGAACAGAGACGCAGGCCACAGGCCCTGGACCGTCTGGCTGGCCGGGCTGAGGGGACCGCAGTGCCAGGGGCTCCCTGACCCGCAGGGGCTGGGTTTGTTGCTGGGAGGATGCATCAGCCAGCGCTTTCCGAGGGCCCCGGCATTCCTGCAATCCTCACCATGCGCCCCGCTCCACCACCCTGCCTCTAAAGGGGTCCCCAAATCCAAGTCAGTCCTAGAACTGGGCTAGACTTGGGGAGCCTGGGGTGGGGGCTCTGCACCCCTGGGGCAAACAGGGAATAGGGAGGAAGGGGGGGTGCTCCCCTTGCCCAGGGCCCTCCAATACAAGCCCAGACCGCCTGTGTGCAGTCACACACGCCAGACCGATCACGAGGTGCGGGCCTCGCCAGGGGCAACCTTGCCAGCACGAAGCACCTTGCCCTCCCTCAGGCATGGACCGCGGCCATGAGCACCACCCTACTCGGTTCAGTGGCCGCATTCAACAGAGACAAGTGAGTAATTAACTCCTTACCCAAATGTCAATATTGAAAATCCTGCTTAGCTCCAACTTAAGTACTTCTACACGGTGTCACGTTCTCCTCGTCTCATGCTAGGGAAGCCATGCCAACGCGGAGGATTAAGATGAAAAAAATAAGCCAAAGCCGGTTTGGCTCAGTGGTAGAGCGTTGGTCTGCGGACTGAAAGGTCCCAGGTTCGATTCGATTCCGGTCAAGGGCATGTACATTGGTTGCGGGCACATCCCCGGTAGGCAGCTGGTCGATGTTTCTCTCTCATCGACGTTTCTAGCTCTCTATTTCTCTCCCTTCCTCTCTGTGGAAAATCAATTAAAAAAAAAAAAAAGATGAAAAAAATAAATAAAAATAATGGTGTTCTCAAGTAGGGCTGCTTTTGAAAAACACCGAGTCCCGGTCTTATTTAAACCTGGCTGTAGTGACTACAAAGAAGGTAAGGCTTTTCGGAGTGTCATTGCTCAAACTCATTGATACAGTCGAAAGCCTTGATCCCACGCCTCTGATGCTACTGGTCCCCCCAGGGTCTCTGGGAACCCTGAAGCAGCCACGTTCTCACACTGACAGCTACAGGAAGATAAAGAAGAATTAATGGAATATTGGGATTACAAACGTCCTCCCAAAATAGGAGCTCTTTGTGTGTGTGTGTCTAAGTCACACGCCCCAGGGGTCACCGGGAGACCAGCTTGGACCATTTGCTCAGCGCTTCCCCCTCCGAGGTCACATCGGAAAGAAGACCACAGTGAGGACGGGGCCGGCCACAGAGCCCAAGCCGCCTGCACACCTCAGACGGGTTCGCGTTCGCTGGCTTTCTCAGATCGGAAAAACGTGTGCTTGGATTGACTGGCCGTGGCCAGGGCGCAGGGCGAAGAGAGGAGGGCAGGAGTGCGGAGGCTGAGACCGAAAAGGAAGAGCTGGAGCCCTGGGGCCCGGAGGGGCAGGGCCGGGGCCTTCGGGTTCACGCACCTCTTGGTTCACCGCAAATCCGATGCTGACTGCCACGGTGGGGAACCTGCGAAGGAAACAGAATGGCTCACCCTCTAAGATAGGGGTGTCGAACTCAATCAGAGAAGGGGCCAAAATCTAAAATCCAGCCTCAATTGCGGGCCGAATGGTTTACTGAACAGTCATAAACTGTCATTGTGATGGAAACGCAGCGGAGTGCAGTGATGACAGCGCGGTTCGGGCCACATTGCAAGGTCTGGCGGGACGGATTTGGCCCGCGGGCCTTGTGTTTGACACATGTGCTCTAAGACATGCGCTGCCTCCTGCGAACCAGCACGCAGCCCCAGGAGCCTGTGTGTGGCTGCGCGGGTTGGCCACGTCCAGGCTCAGAAGGGCCTTTCTAGGGCGCGGGCGGCTGTTTTTTTAAAAGCTGCTTCCCACCATTCACTAACGGCTTCCAAGACAAACAGGCTGAGCCGCCCGGTGGTAAGGTAGCTGACCTTGAAGGAAAGCCGTCTCCTGAGACATGCCAAACTGATGGAATTCAACAAGGACCAGGGGCTCGACTGAGAGGGATTGTAGTCACCGCCTTTCTGGCCCTCAGAGACCCACAGGGACAGCCGAGACCTCCCAAAAGGCCAGACTCCTGCCCCAGGCGGCGCGAGGAGGGCCCCCGGGAGGCTCCCCCACAGGCCCGGGCCTAGCCTCCACCCAGAGGGTGGGTCTGGTGATAACAGCCTCCTCACCCTGTCCCTGTGTGAGCCCCCAGCAGGCGGGGCCGTGGCGGTGGGAGGCTGGCTCTGACTGTGCAGTTTGCCCGTGGTTTTATTTCGTGATTTTGTTGCTGTTGCTCCATGTCTTTGAAATAATCTCTCCTTTATGTGAAGATCATCAGAGCTTAACAACAAGCAGGAACAAGGAAAGGCTGGGCACAGCTAATCCACACGAAACCAGTCACACACGGATCTGGGCTCTGCCTGTTGGGGCGGAGGCCGGGCCACACTGTCGTCGATGGCCGGGCCACACTGTCGTCGGTGGCCAGATCACAGTGTCGTCGGTGGCCGGGCCAGAGTGTCATCGGTGGCCGGGCACACTGTCATCGGTGGTCGGGCACACTGTCATCGGTGGCCGGGCCACACTGTCGTTGGTGGCCGGGCCACACTGTCGTCGGTGGCCGGGCACACTGTCGTCGGTGGCCGGGCACACTGTCGTCGGTGGCCGGGCACACTGTCGTCGGTGGCCGAGTCACATGTCGTCGGTGGCCGGGCACACTGTCGTCGGTGGCCGGGCACACTGTCATCGGTGGCCGGGCCAGAGTGTCATCGGTGGCCGGGTCACATGTCGTCGGTGGCCGGGCCACACTGTCGTCGGTGGCCGGGCACACTGTCGTCGGTGGCCGGGTCACACTGTCGTTGGTGGCCGGGCACACTGTCGTCGGTGGCCGGGTCACACTGTCATCGGTGGCCGGGCCACACTGTCGTCGGTGGCCGGGCACACTGTCGTCGGTGGCCGGGTCACACTGTCGTCGGTGGCCGGGTCACACTGTCATCGGTGGCTGGGCACACTGTCGTCGGTGGCCGGGTCACACTGTCGTCGGTGGCCGGGTCACACTGTCGTCGGTGGCCGGGTCACACTGTCGTCGGTGGCCGGGTCACAGTGTCGTCGGTGGCAGCTCCCTGAGCCACCTCAGCCAGCTCGCCTCAGTTCCACTCTCAGAGGAGCTCTCTCCGGGGCGCTTTAGTCGTGACACTGCCACCGCCAGACATAAGGACAAACAGGACCTGTAGGATGTGCAGAGGCCCGAGCTCCGGGGGTCCTCAGGTGATGTTCTCCACGACGTCTCTCTGGCCCCAGTTCCCCTTGGCCCTGGGCTCAGCCGCCCTGACCCCAATACTGCGCACAGAATGGCGAGCGAGACGGGAGGAACCGGTGTCCCCTCAGCAAACACACCTGAGAGGGAGCCCTGCGATGCCACAGCAGCTGCCCAGGGGGTGTCAGGCTGTGGTTGAAATGACAGTCTAGTGACACTGTTGCTATCACCAGATGGCACTATTCAGTTGCCTCAAAAGGGTCAGCTGTGTGGGCACGACTGCATGGATTCTGAGGAGCAGCCACACTTAGAAAAGCGTGGTGAGTAACATGCTACGTCGGAAGTAGCTTACCAACTTACATATAAACATGTTGTTTGTGGAAACACTTAGGACAATGACAAGAGCCAGGACCCCATCCATCATCTGGCTGAGCTCACACCTGATCACTTCCCATCAGGAAATGGAGCGTCTCTGTGTCATCCACGACAGGGGCTCTCTACGTATGGTCCAGGAAGGCAGATCCATTGGATGCCCCAACCTACGGAGGGGGACCTGGGCACGGGCAGGAGCCTGCGCCAGCCAGCAATCCGGGGCTCTGTGCGTGCTCCCACGGGAGAACCACCCTCTGTGGAACCCACATCACTTTCAGTGCCCTCAGTCCTGGGTGAGTGGGCACAGCTCCCAGAGGGGACCACGTCCCTGTTACCTCCCAGGGCTCTGTGGCTCACTTCCCCGCGCCTCTCTCCAACGGCCCCTCTGACCTCCCTACAGCCTTCTGCTCCCTGGCTGCTGCCGGTCCAGTCAGATCCGTGCCGACCAGCTTCTACTGGGCTCCTCCTCCCATCGCATGGCGCCGTGAGGTTCGCTCCCACTCCAGCGGCGGCTGCGGGAGGCCACCCTCAGTGCCCCTGCCCACACCTCATGCCTTGGCAGCTGCTGGGTTGTATGCACTTGCTTTCCAACCCTGTTTGCTTCTCCAGGGGCCTTTTTATTTAACCCAATATTGCAAACATAGCGGTGTCGGCCCGCGCATTGAAGGGTTATGGATTCAATTCCTGGTCAAGAGAATGTAGCTAGGTTGCAGGTTCGATCCCTGACCCTGATTAGGGTGCATTTGGGAGGCAACCACTTGATTTGTCTCTCTCAGGTCTCTCTCTCTTCCTCTCCCCTGCTCCATCCCTTCCTCCCACTCTCTAAAAAATAAATAAATTGAAAAAATATCTTCAAGTGAGGATTAACAAAACAAAGCAAAAACAATCAAGACTTGATCACCTTTTAAATAAGACCATAAGCCTACTAGAGGTTTGCTCATATACTCCTGCCCCCAAAACGGCTGCTTTGGGAAAGAGTCTTAGAGAAGAGGGCAGTTTAGGCAGGAGATGGGGTGGCCCATGCTTATGCTCACCTGTGCACAAAGTTGCAGGTGCCGTCAATGGGGTCGATGATCCAGGTGGGGCTGGGGGTGAGCACGCACTTGGCCCCTGCTGCCGAGGCCTCTTCAGCAATGAACCTGTGGTGGGCAGGAGCTCAGCCTGAGAAAACGCACCGAGAATGCAAGACAGCGCTTCAAACGGCTTCCATCCCATCAGAGACAAGCAGACACAGCAACGAGACTGCGTTCTGATTTCTCCAGGTCAGACAGAGGCAGAGTCCATGACAGACCATCTGCGGGTCCATCTGTCTGCCAGTCCTCTGGCTCAGCAGGGTTTAGAAAACCCCAAATGACACCTTCATGCAGGAGCTTTGGAAAAGCATCAGGGATATGAGTGGGCCCGTCAAGACAAGAGACACAGGAATGAAGAACCCTGGGCTGCAGATCTTATAAAGCAACTCTGTCTCCACTTTAGTCTGGAGGAGGGAAGGCCGAACACAACGAGAAGGAGGCACATGAGGAACGCTGGCCTCAGAGCAGGGGCCCCTTGGGGTCTCCCGCTAGTGGTGCGGAGCCAGGGAAGACAGCCCGGCTGGACCTGAGGCGTTAAATGCTCACTTACAGCTGATACCGCCCAGGTCCTACCCCGCCAGGCCTCCCCCAAAGCAGACAGGTGACAGCTGCTGCTTCTGTACCCCCGGGCCTCCACTGCCTGGGCGCAATGGGAGCTGACACTTCTCCACAGAGGCCCTCTCCACTCTGGCCTCTGGCCCAAGAGCCCGGGGAGGGCTGCCCCACAGGCACTCCTGCCCCCTGGGAACCCAAGGGGAAGAAAAAGCGGGAGAGTGAGGATAGGATTACTGCCTTATCCGTCCCTTGGAGCGCCCCCCACCCTCCATCCTGGCAGCCCCCACAGGAGCACCCCAGCCTCAGGCCCACGCACCACCCTGCACCAGCTGTCGGGGCCCCTGGCCCTGGCCCCCTCCTTTGTAATTAGTCCTCTGTGGTTCGCACCCTCCTGAAACCTATCCACTGGGGTGGACCCTCTATATCACATGTGTCAAACACAAGGCCCGCGGGCCAAATCCGTCCCGCCAGGTCTTGCAATGTGGCCCGCACCGCGCTGTCATCACTGCACTCCGCTGCGTTTCCATCACAATGACAGTTTATGACTGTTCAGTAAACCATTCGGCCCGCGATTTAGGCTGGATTTTAGGTTTTGGCCCCTTCTCTGATTGAGTTCGACACCCCTACTCTATATCATATTAGGAACCTGAACAAAACAACCAACAGCTCAACATCAGCCTGCACCAAGGGAGCTCCTGGGCATCTTTATTCACGTTTATTTTGCAAAAGGCACCACCAAGGACCCAGATGCTCAGGCTGGAAATGAGGGAAGGCAGCCTCAGTTCTTCCCCCGACCTCCCTCCTCCAACCACCGGCTCAGGCTCGGCACAGCACGGCGAGGGCCATGGAGCTGGTGTCCCCGCGAAGCTGGCCCTTGCTCCCGCCTCCTGGAGCTGTTCTCGGGAGTGAAGAGCATACTCTACCCAGAGCAGACAAGATGGTGCTCGGCACACAGAGGGCTCGGTGTGTGTTCCTAACTGTCACAGAGCCGGGTTCACGGGGGGGTAGGGGTGGGGCCTCTGCCCCTTACTGCCATGTCACCAGGGCCTGGCACCAAGGAAACGCTTGTCTGATGTGCTGAGAGGTTTCCATTAGCATCTCGTGTCGTGTCCGTGTCTGTACTAGAGAAAGGGGAGCCCTGCAGACAACACACTTTTATGAAGAAGGAAACACGAGTGACAAACAAGAAATGCTTCTTGTCCTTCTGCTGGCATTGGGTGTGCTGTCGGCCATGGTCGCCGGACAGCTGCCTCGCCCCTGGTGTCAGAGGCAGAGAGGCCAGAGAGCGGGCAGGACACTGCCCCTCAGCGGCAAGGAGCTCCTAGAGGTCACTCTTCCCAGATCGGTCTGTCCTAAGACCTGTCAGCAATGAACTTGCAGATGAGACTGACATCATATCGGTAATAAAAAGAAAGAAATGGAAAGCTCTGTGCAACCCAGTAGCCACCAGCTAGCTACCTGTGACTGTTTACATTTAAACTAAATTATTAAAAATTAAGAAGTCAGTTCCTTAGCCTCACTGGTCACATTTCAAGTGCTCGCAAGTCACAGGGGCTAGAGGCTGTCCCAGTGGACAGTGCGGACAGAACAAGTCTGTCTTCGCAGAGGTCCTGTGCGCAGCTCGTCCTGCCGGTGGTGCTGTGAAAGAACAAGCACCCCGTGTTCTAACATCGCTTCTCAGTGATTATAGCGCTGCCGCATGCATGTGATTCATCTGCTCCCCGACAGCCCTGGGCGACCGTTCCCATTTCACAGATTAGGAAACTCATGCTCTGTATGCACACAGTCCCCCAGCCCCTCCATCTTACAGATAAATTATGTGGAAAGGCATCAGGGTATATGATGAGTGTACACATGTCATTTTCAGGCTGGTGTTTCCACCTTCTCCGCCCAGCGGTCTCCTTGCAGGAGCACGCAAAGCACTGAGGCTGGGAGCACTGAGACACCCGAGAAACCCAGGCCCTGAAGGGCGGCAGCTGTGCGGGAAAGCTGGCGAGCACCCCCTGCCCCGGCAGCTGTCCATCCAGAACGCGACCGGAGGGAGTGGACACTGGTTCCTCCCTTTGCCTGCTCCGAGTCCCTCCTGCTGCTGGGAGCTGCCTCCCTCCCTTTCCCTCTCTCCGTGGGCTGTCAGATCCTTTGGCTCACACCGTCCAGGCAGGCAGGTCCAGGTGGAAGAAACGGGTGGGGAAAGCCCCGGGGAAGCCAGAGAAGCCATGCCGGGCAGGCACAGCCAGGCAGTGACACCCGAACTCGCGGCCCCAACAGAAACCCAGGTGATGCGCAGAGAATCACTCCCCTGAGCTGATGATTAAATGTGGAATTAGCTCTGCCGGTTCCTGTGGCCGAAGCCTGAGAGATTCTATCTGTTTTCAGTGTCTTCTGTAGCTCCATGGTTTCCCCAGGAATGGCTTATGAATATGCTCTTAAAGGAAAGGGTCTGTGCCCAGCCACTGTGGCTCTGCATCGACCTCTGAGCAAGGAGGTCACGGTCCAATTCCTAATCAGGGCACATGCCCAGGTTGTGGACACGGTCCCTGGTGAGGGGCGTGCAGGAGGCAGCTGATTGATGATTCTCCTTCACTACTGATGTTTTTATCTCTCTATTCCTCTCCCTTCCTCTCTCTGAAATTAATTATAGAAACAAACAAAAAACATTTAAGAGCCGAAACCGGTTTGGCTCAGTGGATAGAGCGTAGGCCTGCGGACTGAAGGGTCCCGGGTTCGATTCTAGTCAAGGGCATGTACTTTGGTTGCGGGCACATCCCCAGTGAGGGGTGTGCAAGAGGCAGCTGATCGATGACTCTCTCTCATCGATGTTTCTAACTCTCTATCTCTCTCCCTTCCTCTCTGTACAAAATCAATAAAATATATTGGAAAAAAAAAAACATTTAAGAAAAGGTTCCACACCGTAAAAACACACGAAGACCAAGTGCCAAGGCTTAAGTTGGGACAAGTCAATAAAGCAGTAAGCAGATATTACTAAGGTCAAGTTGGGGGTGGAAATGACTCACATACAAAGGTCAATTTCCAGAGAACTGAGGAGGAATGTGACATCTTTTTCTCTTTTGAAATGAAACATGATTTTCAGTGGAAAGCTGGCACCGATGCAAGTTGGAGGAGAAACCGCTGGAAGGAAGGGCCTTGCAGGACTGACACCCGAAGTGCTCTGCACGGCATGTGACAGGAATAACTCACACCGCCCTGACTCAGCCCTGAACGTGTTCAGCAGTTGTTACTCATGCCCAAGAGTTCTCTGCCCCCAGATCCCCGAGTGAAGGAGATGAAAGGTGCCCGGTCACCGCCCTGCCTGCTCGGTGCCCGAGGTCTGGGGCAGGGCCTCCTGGAAGCTAAGAGGGGTGTGGACCGTGTCCGCCCTGAGACACTAAAAATACCTCCAGGTGTGTGGGGAGGGAGGCTGAGGTTTCATTTACTTAAACCTGGTTGTCCTTGTGTGGGAGGCGCATACACGGACGGGAGAGGGCATTCTTCAGCTCCAGAGGGAGTGGGGACATCAATGTGGGCACCGGGAAGTGAGAAAAGAAGATGTGGGGCCTTCATAAGAACACGGGACATCTACGTGGACTCAGGGACACAAATAGGAGACAACAGTGCAGGGACTAACTGTGAGGAGCTCACGGCCATCTCAGGAGTCTGTCTAAGGTACAATAGCAAATAGCAAGGTTCCAAGTTAGGTGGCGAACTAAATGACACTTTCTGCTGCAGATTCAACTCCTTTCCTTTCTTTCTCAGGGTCCTCACAGATGGCCAGGCACATCTGGGGCTCTTCTTCCTGCTAGTGTTTTCTCTGCGACAGGCCAGGCCACTGGGGAGCCACTCGGTGTCCCTGAGCCTCATCTTCTCAGGCTGCAGCCCTCGCCGTCCCGGCACCACGGCGGCTCTGTTCCCCGGACACATGCACCCAGCGCCAAACACAGTGGGAGCACGGGGGAAAGCAAGTGTCCAGCTGGCGGTGGCTGGGAACCTCTTTTTCCCAAGTTCAGGACCGTGCTTGGCACACTGCAGGGCACAGGTCACCCCGATGGACAGACCCGCAGCCCGCCACCGGGAGTCCAGACCAGAACAGGGCAGGGCAGGCGGCTGCCCGTACCGAGCAGCCCGAGCTGCTGTCCTCCTCCCTCTGCCTGTGCCAACCCCGAAAAAGGGACAGAGATAGGTGCGCACCCATGTGGCTCAGTGATGCTGCTGAATATTCCCAAGCTGCACACCTCGGCTCTAACGCAAGGTGTGAGCACGCAGCAGGGCAGACTGGCGGGGACTGTGGACTCAGCCTCGGGCTGGACGGTTCCTGTCATTATCCCACATGGCAGCGTTAGTGCAGGAGCCGCAGCGCTGACCTCCGAGAGGAGTCCCGGGCGGCTGCCACAGCTGGAGGCAGAAGCGAATTTAAACCGTATTCATCTGATTCCGTCTATGCCTGACATTCAGGTCAGGGACCCAGACTTTGGATTTCATGAATGAGTAAAACGAAATAATAAACCAGGGAGCCTACAGCAGGTTGTTAACACAAAAACAGTTGCAATTTTTAATATTGTTTCATGATGATTAAAAGGAGGAAGGACAGATGCTCAGAAAGAAAGTCCTGCCCTGACTGGTTTGGCTCAGTGGATGGCGTGCCGGCCTGCGGACTCAAGGGTCCCGGGTTCGATTCCAGTTGGGGGCATGTACCTTGGTTGTAGGCACATCCCCAGTGGGGAGCGTGCGAGACGCGGCTGATCAGTGTTTCTCTCTCATGGATGTTTCAAACTCTCTGTCCCTCTCCCTTCCTCTCTGTAAAAAATGAATAAAAAAATATTTTTTTTTTAAAGAAAAGAAAGTCCGCCGAAAGTGGTAGAGCATCCGTCTGCGGACTGAAAGGTCACAGGTTCGATTCCGGTCAAGGGTATATACATTGGTTGCGGGCACATCCCCGATAGGGGGTGTGCAAGAGGCAGCTGGTCGATGTTTCTCTCTCATCGACGTTTCTAGCTCTCTATCTCTCTCCCGTCCTCCTCTCCATAAAATATCAATAAAATATATTTAAAAAATAATAATAAATAAATAAAAGAAAGTCCTTTCTAAAAAAGGATGATGGGCAACCTTCTGCTAACATGTTTACGGGATCTACTGAAATACTGCGAATGCAGAAAAATTACAACACACTGTTTTATGTTATAGCATGAACGCAATTTTCCCCATCATAAATTTGTCTAGGATCTGAGACATAATTAAGTGCCAGAAATGCTTAGTCATTGGCAAAAACCAAACTTGCCCATAGATGTGCTGAAAAGTGATTCCATCTCGTGTGAACTGCCCAGGCACACAGAGCAGAGGACAGGAGCAGTGGCACCCAGCGCCCAGCCATGGCCCCACACTGCCCTCAGAGCAGAGAGGAAGGGTGGCACAGATCCCGCACACAGGCCGCCATGTCTCTGCCCTCGGGCCCGGTGGTATGAGCCTGGAGAATTAGGGAAGCACTGCTCTAAATCACTGAGTCCCGCTCAGGCGTGTGCGTCTGCACCTCCCGGGCCTTTTGCCACGAGTGGAGGCTTCTACCCATGTGCCTCACCCAGGGGGCATCAGGGCCATTGCCTAACCAGCTAGAAGGAAACAACAGGCTTGGCGTTAGTCAGCGGGAGACGCTCCTGGGTGGCCCCGATGCGCACTCTAGGTGAGGTACACTGCTCGGTAGATGGTGAGGTACACTGCTTTTGGGAGGTAGAGGGGTACACTGCTCGGGGAGGCAGTGGGGTACACTGTCCGGGGAGGTAGTGGGGTACACTGCTCGGGGAGGTAGTGGGGTACACTGCTCGGGGAGGTAGTGGGGTACTCTGCTCGGGGAGGTGCTTCCCAAGGGGCTTCGGAGCCTGGCGGTCCCCTAGTGACCGTGAGGCCCTGGAGCGGAGGTGGGAGAAGCTGCACTCTCCCATAGAAAACGCTGACTTGATTCTGACACAGCAATATTTAAGTTTCCCTTGTGAAAATGGGATCCACACCCCATGCTGACACAACAGTGGATCCAAACCACTAGCAACTGCTGCCAACACATACAATAGGGCATGCAATGTCAGATTCTGGTTTGTCAGAGTACTGTAATCTGATCGAGAATAGCCAGAGCCCTGATAATGCCATTAATGGGAGTCTGCAGTGACCTCCGGGTCTTTACCAGGACCCCGCAGAGCCCAGCCCCCCTCATTTCCCGCCCTCATTTCCCACCCTCATTTCCCACCCTCATTTCCTTCGCAGCTATTGCCAATCCTATGGCAATCTCGAGAAACAAAATAGCTCCTCACCCAGAACCAGCTGGCTGGTGTTTTTCTTCTCAAAGAACAAAGGCAAACTGTATAATCCTTTTGACATTGCCATTTAATTTAGATTTTTACAAGTTAAAAAATATAAACATTTTAGAGCTTGTAAAAATTTTAACAGATGTCAGGGATCTTGCCCCCCCAGAGAATAAGGAAATATGAAATAACACTCACACACAATGGTTGTCAACAAAAGGAAATAAACACAACCCACTGGCAGAGAACTTTGAAGGGAGCTGGTGACCCTGAGATAACCCAGCCAGCTAGAAGGAAACAGGAGGAAAAAGGAGGGAAGTTTGAACACAACCTTGTCCTTTCCTTCCACTGGTCGTGCGCAGGGGAAGGTCTACTGTGCCTGCCTCGGCAGGAGGGACCCTGGGGAGAGGGCCTTCCGTGCCTCGGCGCCCGAGCACGGAGCAATGTGGGGTCTGACGTCACACCGATCTACCCAGAAAGCAAGCCCTGGCGTTCCAGTTTTAGCGATTTTGTGTCAGAAAGGAGAGAGATACCCGTCCCCTCCGCCCCAGGCAGCGGTTTACAGGCTGTTCTGCAGAACCCCGGGGGGAGGGAGGGGCCTGCAGACCCAGAGCTCAGGGGATGCCCTTCTCTGGGGTCTGTGGCTTCCTTGGAACTAGATGCAAAATGCTGTGGACACATTTGGATTTTTCGGAGGAAGGAAAAGATTTATAATTGGCACTGGATTCCCCATGATGGTTAAGAATGACGGTGACTCTGAAAAGGTTAAGAGCTTCTCTATAGAAGAGGGTGGGATCCTCCTAAAGACCTGAAGCAGGAGAGCAGCCTTCCTGGGCCTCGCAATGGCCTGGCGTGGTGGCTGGGGGGTGGCCTGTCCTGGAGGCCTGGGGAGGTGGCCTGGGAGGTGGCCTGGAGAGGAGGCCTGGCTTGGAGGCCGGACTGCCTGCCAGCAGGGGCACCACAGCGGGCGGGGCCGGGCCCAACAGCTGGCAGCGTCACTCAGGGTCACACCCTTAGAAAAGCCCGTGGCCGCCGGGACCGGTTTGGCTCAGTGGATAGAGCGTCGGCCTGCGGACTGAAAGGTCCCCCGGGTTCGATTCCGGGCAAGGGCATGTACCTTGGTTGCGGGCACATTCCCAGTAGGGGGTGTGCAAGAGGCAGCTGATCGATGATTCTCTCTCATCGATGTTTCTAACTCTCTATCCCTCTCTCTTCCTCTCTGTGAAAAATCAATAAAATATATTTAAAAAAAAGAAAAAAAAGAAAAAAAAGAAAGAAAAGCCCGTGGCCGAGCAGCCAGGGCTGCCAGGGAGCAGCTCTGCTCCAGATCCCCCGGAAACGTGCTGCGGGGCTTGGCGGAGGGGAGCTGAGCTGAGCCCTTCCCCGGGGCACGCGCCGGCAAAGGGAAGCCTCGTCTGCATTCGCTAGTATAAGGTGACCTGAAGGTTCTCAAGATGGAGCGAAAGGAAGGAAAACAAGGGCCGGTGTGTTCGCCATGCGATCAGAACACCGGGGCTTCCTGTCTGAGCTCTGCCCTGTCGACCAGCCGCAGCCTCCCGAGGTGGGCCCTGGCCTTGCCGTGACCGCGGCCACGAGGGCTTCGGGGTCCCCCGGGACACGCCTACCTGTGCGAAGGAAACCGCTTCTGCATCTCAGAAATGATTAAGTCTTCCACAAGGTGGTCCGTCTCTGTCACCAGGTCCGCAGCGGAGGTTTTGGTGGAGACCTGCTTTTCCTCAGAGAGGGCTTTTCTGATGATCTGCAATGGAAGTCCAGGAGGGCAAGTTAGACTGAAGCACCCTCTTCCCCCGGACGAAGGAGCTCCCCGCCCGTGGGGACAGCGCCGGGGGAGGCGGCGTGTGGGCCTGGGGGCAGTTCCTGACAGGCCTTCCCGGCTTCATCTCACCCCCAAGACCTCCTGTTGGGGGTTCTAGTGCGCGTTCATCACCCGCCATCCTTCCCGTCAGAATGACAGACTCACGTGTTGAAATTTTGTGCTACTTGTGAAACACATTTTCTTGGAAGAAAAAGAGAAGCAATGGTTTTAAAGACGGTGAAACCTCCTCCAGTATAAGGTGGTGTAAGCCACCTGTGGATGCATCAGTCCCTGAGTCTGAATTTATGGGATTTCTGTGTAAAAACTTCTTTTCCCTAACTCACTGTGTGCATCACATGAGAGGGAATATGCTCCTGCATGCAGGTGACAAATGCTCCGACTGAGAAGCCTGGGAAAGCTACAACGTTCTTCGAGAGCACCGAGCGCACTCTGCCTGCTGCCCTGGGTCAGGGCACTCCTGCCGTCCCAGGGCACCTGCACCTGAGCCAGCTTTGGTGCCAGGCACCGGAGCCCTCAGGGCTGAGCGCGCAGGCAAGCTCTGCAGATGTGAGCTGCCAGCTCATCCTGTCTAGACTCACTTCGGCTAAATGCAGGCCAGGAACAGAGGGCACCTCACCTCTAGTACCCGCCCCCGGGCCCAATCTGGTCCCAGGAAGCGCTGGGAGACCCAAACAGGAGGGCACGTGGCGAGGTCACTCAGTCATAGGACACGTGGGAGAGCTCAGTTCTAGTTTGCAAAATCAAAACCATTCCTACTCCAGCTCAGGCCTTTCTTGAAATTTCTGTCGTTTTTTACCATGGTGACAGTTGGAACACCTAAAAAGGACTTCAGACCTTCCCTCCAAAACTGGGCATCACCCCAAAATCTGGCATTTCCTCGTAAAGCACCTCGATCGCTCAGCTGCCCGGACTTGACGGCTTTTGCCCATCATGACCCTTATTGTCCGACCTTAGATCCGTACTTTCCGATTCCCTTTCCACGCACAGCCTGTGCTCTGTAGGCTGAGGAGGCAGGAAGAGATTCACCTGGAAGTCTGCAGGCGGGAGATGCTCACGTGGAATTTTAAAGAATGAGGAGAACCTCCTGGACATGGAGCAGTCCCTCCTTTTTATGTTTCTCACAGAAGTCCCCCGGCCTAGTGCTGGCCCGAACAATACTGAGCCTGGACAGGTGTTGTATGTGTTTGCTTTTTTCAGCTTAGTTGCAAAGGTAATCAACACCAACTATAGATAACGTGGAGTGTAATGTGTTTTGTAAGCACACAGCAGTCATGCGTAAGGCATTAGCCAAAGACGGTCCCTTTCCCATTGCGGTGCGAGCCGGCAGGCTGCCACCCGGGCCCTCCTGTTCCTCTGTCTGCTGCATCCCCTTCATCTCTGTCAGGTTCATCGCCCCAAAACACCAATCTGCACAAAGCCAGCTCCCACCAAACAAATCTCTGTGCTTCCTGTTTATGAACATCAGACGCCTCAAATCTAGCTCATATCGAACCTGCCCCGTCCTCCAGGAATCCCTAAATCGTAGCTAGTCCAGACCTCCTGTCCACAGGTCATTTGACGGCGAGCTTGGGTCTAGTATGGCAATTCAGTGGTGTGTGTGTGTGGGGGGGGGGAAGAGAGTATGTGGTTTATGTTGTATATGTAGGAGGGTATATGTGTATACGTGGGGGTTTATGTAGTGTGTAGGGAAATATGTGATGTGTATGTGGAGTGTGTATATGTGGTATGTGTGTATGGTTTATATGTGCTTGTGAGAGTGTTGTATATGGTGCGCGTGCACACGCGCGTGCGTGTGTGTGTGTGTGTGTGTGTGTGTGTGTGATCTGTGTGTGTGGGTATGTATACATATAGTTAGAGAGAGGGAGAGAGATATACACCCTAAACAGGGGACACAGAACTAGAGCTTCTCAAATATTAATGTACATGAATTACGTGGGATCTTGTTGAAGTGAAGACTGATTGAATAGGTGTGGGTTTTGGGGTCTGAGATTTGCATTTCTGACAAGTCCTGTGGCGACACTGATGCTGGGGCCACACTTGAGTAGCAGGGACTGGAGCGGCTCTGAGTGAGGAAGGGTTCTCAGGAGGCTAAGACCCCATGTGAGTCCTGGGGCCTCCCCCTTGAGAGGACACAGCTTCATTTACACTCAGCCTATCCCCACCTGTGGTAGGCATGCATGCGATTCAACATGATCCCCTGTGGTCTTTATGTAGAAGCTAGGTTGGTGATTTTTAAACATGGTCATCTCGTGTCATTTTAATGCTCGAGCTACCCAGTGGCTTCCCATCGCTCTTAGAACAAAGCCCCAGGCCCCACAGGAGGAGGCCCTGGCCACCCGCCGATCTCGCCTCCCAAAGGCCACCTGGTTTTCTGGCCCGTCCCAACCAAATCTGTTTTCTGTCCCAGAGACTTCGTATTTTCTGGTTCTTCTGTCTGGGACTTCTCACATCTGAAATCATCCCGTTTGCTTCGTGGTTGACGGAATGTCTCTCCCCAGTGGCCGTGAGCTCCGGGAGAGCAGAGTTCACTCCCGTTTGCTCCCTGCCGCACTGTTAGCTTCTAGAATTGTCCCTGGCAGAGTAGGCCTCCAAATTTCTTGAAGCATGAATAAAATACACATCAGACTGCTTGAGTAGCTTCTGCACCTTTTATCCAAGTGAACCTCTCGTGTTGGTGTGAATACTATCCACCTGGGTCCTTTTGTTGCATTTCATTGTGGCGTTGCTGTTGTTGGTTGTCCTGTTAAACACAGTTTAAGTGTGCTTGAAGTCTGACAAACTCGAGACTCCACCCACCGGCCCTATCTCTTGGAGCTGGCCTCAATCTGCTTCGTGGCACTCAAGTCCATTCTCCACCCGCAGCCAGAAGGGTTTGTTAAGACTCTGATCTTAACCATCACGCCTCCCAGCATAAAGTTCTTAATGGCTCCCTTTTACTCCAAGATAAAAGTCCACACCTCAGTGAAGGTGGCATGCAATGGCTTTTGAGAATTGGCCTGCGAGCAGACTATCTGACCCCACAGAGCCAGTCTCCCCTTCCCCCATTAACAACACAAGCCCCGAGGTTAGCAAGGGGTGGAGCCACCTCAGCAGTCTGCCCCTCTCTGCCTCTGGAGCAGGTAGGTGTGGCCTGTGTCTAAGTTCTACCCAAGAGGATGTGAATGGAAGTTCTACGTGCAGCTTCTGAGTCACACCCTTCAAAGGCCACTTCCGCTTGTTCTTTCCCCCTTTGCCACCTGGTGTGTCGTGGGTGTGGTGGTGAGAGGTCAGTTTTGGTCACACGGACGGACGAACAACACCTCCCTAGAACAGTGGTCGGCAAACTCATTAGTCAGCAGAGCCAAGTATCAACAGCACAACGATTGAAATTTCTTCTGAGAGCCAAATTTTTTAAACTTAAACTTCTTCTAATGCCACTTCTTCAAAATAGGCTCACCCAGGCCGTGGTATTTTGTGGAAGAGCCACACTCAAAGGGCCAAAGAGCCGCATGTGGCTCGCGAGCCGCGGTTTGCGGACCACGGCCCTAGAACAAGCAGGAAGAAACCTGGTCCCGGAGTGACTTCGTGAAGCAGAGGCCCTGCTCCCCAGGCCTCGAACTGGACTTTTATGGGAAAGAGAAAGGAACCTGCCTTCTTGTCACTGATCTCTGTGAGGGAAGCCAGACCATCAATCTGAGATAAACAGGCCTTCCCCAGCCTTTGCATTCTCGTCTCCTCTACCCTCCCCTTGCTGCAGTACTGCTATGCTCCAGCCTCACATAACTGGCCCCTTGGGGTTGCAGCAATCCACTCCACCTTAAGGGCCCCGGTCTGTTTGTCTGTCTCCGCCTCCCACGGGCCTGTTTTGCAGCTGGTACAGGGGCTGCCACACTGCCGGCCTCGGTGAACATCTGCTGAGTGAGTGAATGAATGAAGATCTCCTCACTGCTGCACACGGAGTTCAGAGGCCACTCCTCTGAAGTCTGGAAGGCGTTTTAGCCAGTGCTCCTGGGAAGTCACATCGAGCCTCACTGGTATTTATGCACTTGGTCTTTCTGGGTCCAGAATATGCACAACTGTGCTGTGTCGAGGAGATGCGTGCTCGGGGGCGTGTGTGGGCAGTTTGGGGAATGTCTGTTGTCGTCTGGACAAACTTTCCAGAGGAACCAGGCCCCTGGCTGTAAATCATACAAACGGAGGGAAGATTTAGGGATTCAGACAGAGCATGTCATATCATGTTCTTTTTTTTTTTTTTTTTTTTTTAAAGCTTTTCTGATTTTATTAGCATTATTGGTGTGCTGTGTTCATTACGTGTGGCATGTATCACAAGGAAGGCCACGGGCCTGGATGTCCCCGTGTCTGCGGCAGCGGGGCTGGCTGCCCGGTGGCCAGGCCTCTCGCATTGGCTGCTGCTCCCTCAGGCCCTGGCTCACCGCCCTCTCATCCAGTTACACACTCAGATATGGAGATCGCACTTCCGAATTACTTTCCTGAAGTACGCTGCCCTTCTCCTACTGCCTGCCATCACCTGCTGCATTGCTGGAGCAGCGCCCTCCATCCTTTGGTCTGGCTCCCCCGAGGTGCTGTCCACCGTGCAGAGTGGCCTCTCTGGAAAGCAGGTCTTCCTGCGGGCACTCTCTGTGGCTCGTTGGGCTCACCAGGAGGACGGTGGGCCCGTGTCTGGTGTGAGGTCCTCCTCAAGCCGCCCCTGGCAACACCTGGCCCCGCAGCAGCCCGGCCCTGGCCCCTGGCCGGGCCCGAGAACTCGCTGGTGTTCTCCCTCCACACCCTTGTCTTCCAACACGATGTTCTTCGTGCCTGCAGTGGCCGCCCTGGATGCCCCCTGCCCGTTTGTCCTTGAGGACTCCACTCAGTCCCGTGTCTCAGGAAGCTGTCTGGGTGGCCCCCACCCGCCCCCTCTTGGTCGGTGGTTCCCTACGTGA